AGCAGCTACACCCTGTATGATTCCACTTATATAAGGTACTCAAAATCAGACAATAGGACAGAAGCTGCTGACTGAATAGCTTCAGAGCCCGTGGGTCTAACTGAATGCGGGGGTCCTTTTCAGATAACTTTATGATTATCAATAATGTTTGATTTATATACCTATTTTATATACCTACATATGCAAGGCCAGCTAAACATTTTTCAAATAGAGTCACAATTGGAAAAAGTTTAATTAGCCCTGGTTTAATAAATCAGTTTTCTACGGCTGAAATGACAGTATGACCCAGCGATGATAATTCTTGGTATCTTAACTCCCCCAAACACAAAAACATTAATTTGGAAAGATATATGCACCCACATTCATTACAACATACAACCGCCAGGATTGAGAAACAATCCCAATGTCCAAGAATAGACGAATGGGTAATGATGCAGTACACAATGGGACATTACGCAGTTCCCAGAAAAGATGGAATCGGGCAGTTTGCTGCAATTTGATGAAGCTGAAGGGTAACACCTTAAGTGAAAGTCAGAGGAAGGACAAATACTGGATGACCTCTCATCTATGGAATAGACAAAACAACAGGACAGACAATCTCCAACAATGACAAACAGATGGTCTTGATTATGAAATGTATCCCCAGTGTGGGAGACACTGAAGGGGCCACTGGTGGAGTGCAGTGACTCACAATGCTATGGCCATGCTACCCAAACTATGATCTAAAATGTGTTTGAAAGTGTTGATAGTTGCAGTGTTATTAATGTATGCAACACTTAGAGATGTTAAGCTGGGCAAGAGATGGCCCAACGGGCGGGATGGCACGCACTACATGCAGGAGGCTCAGTGGATCCGGGCACCACACGTACCCTCTAGTGCAACCCCTCAATGCTGAGCTGGGGGCTGGAGCAACAGCACAGTGGGTAGGGCATTTGTCTTGCATGCAGCCGCGAGTTCAATTCCTCCGTCCCTCTCGGAGAGCCCAGCAAGCTACCGAGAGAATCCCCATCATCCCACAGGGTCCCCCAAGCACTGCCAGGAGAGATTTCTGAGTACAGAGCCAGGAGTTAACCCAAGCATTGCTGGGTGTGACCAAAAAGTGCAAAAAACAAAATAAAAAATACTGAGCTGGGAAGTAGTCCAAAATAGAACAAAAATTTTAAAAAACTGAAGCGATAGCACAGCAGGTAGGTTGTTTGCCTTGCACACAGCTGACCTGGGTTTGATTCCTCTGTCCCTCTTGAAGAGCCTGGCAAGCTACCGAGAGTATCCTGCCCGCACGGCAGAGTCTGGCAAGCTCCTCATGGCGTATTCGATATGCCAAAAAAAAAAAAAAATACAGTAACAAGTCTCACAATGGAGACATTACTGGTGCCCGATCGAGCAAACCGATGAACACGACAGTGCTATAGTGCTTTTTTGCGGGGGTGGGGGGAACACACACACACACACATTCCCAAGCAGTGCTCAAGGTTTACTCCAGTCTCTGTGCTCATGGTTACTCCCGATGGGCTTGGGGGACCATATGTGATGCTGGGGACAGAAACCAGTTCAGCAAGTGCCCTATCTACTATCACTTTGGCCCTCAAAAAAAAAAAAATTTTTTTTTTTATGTAGGAGTACTGCTATTTATTCAGCCACTGATTAGTTGATTGAACAAAAACTTTTTTAAAAGAAAAATAAAAAGTGATAAATTCTGTATGCGTACTTTACCACAATTGAAAACATATACACAGGAGTAAAATTTGTATTTTTTTCATTAAACATGTTCTTTCTGATAAAGCATTTGCAATAAACCCAGGTATTCCCATACAAGAAAGACTTACAGGGAGAAAATTCTGCAGGCTCAATCTAGACACAGACACAGACACAGACACAGACACACACACACACACGTTTGTGAGCTGTATCTGGTGATGCTCAGGATTCACTCTGTGCTTAGAGATCATTTCTGGCACTACTCAGGGAAACCATAAGTGGTACAAGGATCAAACCAGGGTTGGCCACTTGCAAGGTAAGCGCCTTACTCCCTATGCTCTCTCCCCAGCCCAAGTTACATATCTACCATATGAAAAACCTGACAATCAACTAGAAAATAGTATACACGGAAGATGCACACAGGACAGGAACAAAAATTCCCAAATGGAAAAAAAACGTGAAAAACATTAAAATACTAGTAACCAAAAGCTAGGGGGAAAATATCAAAATAGATTCTACTTTCATTTATCAAATTTCATTTGGGGTGAAGGTGAAAATGATCTGTTCACAGCTGGGCAGGAGAGAGGAGTTCAAAAGGCTAGGAGTGCATACCTTGTACACAGAGGTACCCAGATTGATCCCCGCATCTTAAACCATTGCAAACCCCACTCCACCCATCCCCTAGGTATGATTCTAGCTGAGCAAAAGCACCCAGAACAGAGCCAAGCATCACTGGCCATAGCACAGCAGTGACCGGCCTGCTGCCCCACTGAAAGGTATTCAGATTTATTTACTCTTAAGTCACTGGTCTCCCCTTAAAATTCCGGGACTGGAGTGAGAATGCAGCAGGGAGGGCGTGTGTTTGCCTTGCACTCGGCCTACCCAGGTTCGATCCCTGGCATCCCATAGGGTCCCCAGAGCACTATCAGGAGTAATTCCTGAAAGCAGAGCCAGAAGTAACCCGAGTGTGGCCAGATGTAACCCAAAAGGGGGGGGGGGGGGAAGAGATTCCTCCCTGCTCCCTCCTATTTTCACTTCCCACTTCTGAACTCCAGAGTGATGCCCATGACTGAAACTAGTAACCTCCGAATCCACTGAGGCCACTTCAACAGCTCAGAAGCACCATTAAGAGCAACCAGTTGTCCACGTTCCAGAAACTTTTTTTTTTCTCTGCGCTTCTATGACAGGCAGCTCCTGCTTTCCCCCCCACCTCCACTGGCTGTTTCTCCCTGGACTCATCATTTCTTCCTCTGTATTGGGTGACAGGCCTCCATTTTCACCCCTTTCCTCAGACTGGGAACTGAAGTCAGGCCACTGTGCCCCACTCCCAGCCTCCGCTGACATTCTTTCCAAGTCACCTATCTCATAGTCCCTACCCTCCGACTGTCATCTCTATAACGTGCTCCTTTTTGATGATTTGCTTGTGGGCCACATCCAGTGGGGGCCCAGGGTCTACTCCTGGCTCTGTGCCCAGGGATCACAGCTGACGAAGATAGAGGACAGTGGGGACTGAACCAGGGGGTCAGCAGCTACAAGGCAAGCTCCCGACCAGCTGTTCTCTCTCCAACCCCAGGAGGCACCCCTTTCGGAGAAGCTGTTCTCAACAGCTGGAGTCTCTCTCTTCCCTGAGTTCCAAGCCTGTGTGGGCAACCGTCTTCTCAGCATCCTGACTTCGTATCTCATATCCATCTCAAATGTTGACATACCAAACGCACTCATCATTTTTCCCCCACCTTGACATTTTTCTCTTCCATTCCTCTGGGCAAATATCACCAATTACCTGCAGCCATGTGAAACCTGTCGAAGGAAGAGCACCCTCCTTGTACCTCACCAATCCATTTCCAAGTGTTGTCTTTTTTTTTCCCCTTCTGCAGTGCCCAGGGTGATGCCCAGGGCCTCACACAGGCAAGGGCAGTGCCCTACAACTGAACCATCTATAGTCTGTGTCCCCATGTTTTCCCATTTAAGTTTTTTTGGGGGGGTGGGTACCACCTAAAGCCTCCATACATGAGACTTTACACACACGCAGGCCTACTGAGTCACATCTCCAGCCTTCAAAATGCATTTTGAACCTTTCCACTCTTCTCCCTCTCTCCACCCCCTTGGACCAACCTAGTCCAAAGGACTGTTATAACAGAGCATCCAAACTGCCTCCCAGCTCCCACCCAGGCGCACGTCCTCAGCTGGACATGGAGACTGTGCTTCTTGCTCTTCAAAAACCTTCCAAGAATTCCAGTACAAACGTCAGCCCAATCAGGTCATCATCTGTTCCTATCTCTGAAAGAATACGCTGCCCCTCCCCCAAGGGAAAAAATCCACTCAACGATACGATCTCTAGACTGTCCAAGTACGGGTCCTTTTTCTCCTTTGGACATTTTTGGTTCGTTTCCGAGTTTTCTATGAAGACTTGCTACTTGCTTAACATAATGATGCCCCCCCCCATCCTTAACATAAGGATGAGGAGCATTAGATTGCTAATCATGCATGCATTTCACATGGTAACAAGGGAGTGGAAATTTGCAGGCAAACACACACACACACACACACACACACACACACACACACACCCCGCTTCCAAACTTCGATGAAAATGCGAGCACACGCGACCTATTCCAGGTTTGAACCAAATTACATTCACGATAGAAAAAAAAATTTTTTTTCTTAAAGATTCTGGTCTAAACCTCATTGTCTTCTGCAATCTGGCTGCAACCCGCCAAACCAGCCTTTATCTTCCAAGTACTCGCCCGGCTTCGCACTCCAACCCCGCAGCGTCAGTCTCGCTCCTCGGGGGGCGCAGAACGCGGGCATCCCCCGCCCCCACCCCGGGGTCGCCCCCAATCCTGCAGCTCCTCCCCGCCCCCTCTCGGAGGGGGCCCGCGGGGTGGGCGACAGTCCGGAGGGGGATCCCGGCGGCATTCTGGGCTCCCTCACAACAAACGGTGCGGGCGGGCCCGTCTCACTCCTCGGCTGCGCCCCCCGACTGCCCAGCTAAGCCCCCTGACCGCTCCGGCCACTCCGGGGGGCGCCCAGGAACCCCCCCCCGCCCGTCCCCTCCGTGCGCGCTGCGCCCCCTCCCGCGCGCGCGCGCCCCCGGCCCCATTCCGGGCTCCCTCCCCGGAGACACCAGACGAGACCCCCGACGCGCCCCCGGCCCGCGCCCCGGGGCCGGCCCCGCGCGGGGTGGGGGAGGGGCGGCACGTGCCCGCGCGCCCCCGCCCAGACAAAGCCCCCGAGAGCGGCGCGCGCGCCCGGCCCGGCCCGGCCCGACCCGCCCGCTCCCGCCCGCTCCCGCCGGCGCTCACCGTCGCCCCGGACCTCCGGCTCGAGCGCGGCGCGGGGGCAGGCGCCGGCGTGGGCCCGCCACGAGGCCCCAGCGACCCCGCAGCCCGCGGAAGCACAAGGCGCGGCGGAGCCCGCCCGGCCCCGCGCGGCCGCCGCTCACGTCAGCAGCAGGGGCGGGGCGCGAGCGGCGACGGCGGCGGCGGCGCGCGCGCGTCTGGGGGCGGGGCGAGCGGGCCGGGGGCGGGGCCGGAGCTGGGCCGGCCCACACCTTGCACTGCTGCTTTCTTTGGCCAACTGCTCATTTTCCTTCCTGGAAGATGGCGAGGTTCTCCCCGGCATTTGACAGAATATTCATTTTGCCCGCATCTCTGAAGCTCCCCGCACAGTAGCAATACATGCAGTCTGTCATCGTGTGAAAGAGAGAAATCTTATGCCAAGTTTTAGTGATGGGTGTAGGAATAGATTACTAATCTATTTTGCAGAGGGAGAAACTAGGGCACAGGAAGACTGACATCTGGGAACTCCTGTTTGCCTCCGATTTATCTCCTCTGACTACTCGCTTCCTTTTCCGACATTCCTCTGCCACCCAACCTTAGATCCCATCCTCCTTCTGCTTAGGACCCCTTCCAGCTGGTCTCCGGGGATCTGTTTCTGGAATGCATCAACCAGTTTTCACTAAGAGAATTGTAAAGAGTTACAATTGGAGGAATGGAGAGGTAGTATACTGGGTAAGACACTTGCTATACACACTTGCTATACACACTGCTCTACACTGATCTGGTTTTGACCGCCCCACACCATATCCGCCCCACACCCTGAGCACTAAGTCAGGAGAAAGCAAAAAAAGTATCACTGAAGTTGGATGGTAGGTCTAGAGGGGGGTTACTTTTTTTTTAATTACTTATATTTAACAAATGTTATCAATTTGGGGATATATTTCATTGTATTTTAAAGGATTTGCTCATATTTCCAATAGCAAACACTATGCATTGCATAATATGTACCCTTAAAAAATGTAACTAGTTCAATGAAGCCCAAAGCAGGGTAATTGGAAGAATAAGCAACATTGACAAACCTAGGGCCAGAGTGATACTATAGCGAAGAAGCGTTTGCCTTATCTGTGGTGAACAAAGGTTAGATCCCCTGCATCCCCGAGCACCGCCAGAAGTAATCTCTGGGTGTACAACCAGGAGTAAACCCTCAGCATGACCAAGTGTAGCCCACAAACCAAGAATAAATAAATAAAAACAAACAAACAAAAAGTAACTTTGACAAACCTTTAGCTAGGTTCATGAGGGTGAGGGCGTTCTAATAAACAGCATCAGAAATGAAAGAGAAGTTACAACAGACACCACCGATTTACAACGAATTACGAGAGAAAGCTACTACGAACCACTTTAAGTCACTAAATTCTTGAACCTAGAAAAAAATGGACATATTTGAATATTCATCAACCTAGAAAAAAATGGACATATTTGAATATTTGAATTGAATCGTGAGGAAATATGGGGCTGGAGCGATAGCACAGCGGTAGGGCGTTAGCCTTACACACAGCTGACACGGCCAACCCGGGTTTGATTCCTTCACCCCTCTCGGAGAGCCCGGCAAGCTACCGAGAGTATCTCGCCCGCACGGCAGAGCCTGGCAAGCTCCCCGTGACGTATTCGATATGCCAGACACAGTAACAACAAAGTCTCCAATGGAGACGTTTCTGGGCCCGCTCGAGCGAATCGACGATCAACGGGAGGGCCTTTACCTTTACCTTTTACGTGAGGAAATAGAAAATATGAAAAAGCAAATATAAAAAGGAAACTGAAATAGCAATCAGAATTCTCCCCAAAAACAGAAGCATAGGGGCCAGAGAGATAGTACTTGCCTTGCACACAGCTGACCTAGTTTTGATCCCCGGCATTCCATATGGTCCCCTAAGCACCACCAGGAGTGCTTACTGAGTGCAGAGTTAGGAGCAAACTCTGAGCACTACAATGTGGCCCCCAAACCAAAATAATATAATAATAATAATAACAATAATAAGTAAATAAATTAAATAGTGGGCCAGAGAGTAGAGGGGTTAAGGCATGTGTCTACATACAGTCAACCCCACATATGGTCCCCCAAGCACTACTAGGAATCACAGCTCCTGAGAAGGGCTGAGTGTAACTCAAATCACTCCCCACCCGACACACACAGACAAATGTAGGGGCTACGGAGAGAGCACTGGGGGTGCATGCGTGTATGCATGAGGCCCTGAGTTTGATCTCTAAGCATAGGTGCCACATAGCCCCCTCCCCCCAGTACTGCTGGGTTATTTGTGGCCCTGATGACTCCCTAGCAGTACCTTGTCAGAGGACCCAGTACCCGACCCTCTGGCCTGCACAGTTAGACCAAGTATTCCTAGGAGTGGCCCCAGGGCCCCTGAGCACTGCTTGGAAGCGCCCCAATTTTTAAAAAAATTTTGTTTGGGAGCCACTCCCAGCAATGCTCAGGGGCTGTTCCCGGTTCTGTGCTCAGGGGGACCAGGAGCAGTTCTGAGAATTGCACCAGAGCGCGCTGAATGCCAGGCAATCCTCTCTCTGGCTGATGCATTCTGGTTTTCTGGAGGGAGCACACCTGGCAGTACTGAGGGATTATACCTGGCTCTGGGCTCAGTGGTCACACCTGGTCCTCTGCCTAGGGGCCAGACCTGGTAGCATCCCCAGGATCAATATGCAGTGCCAAGATTCAAACCATTGTACTGACTGCCATACAGTGCAAATGCAGACGCCTCTGTCCCGTGGCTCCTGTTTCTCAGGGCCTGTGGCCCCCTGGGCTCCCAGCCTCCTCCCTGACCACTTCTAGTCTCTCAGCATTTCCCTCACAATTCTCAAATCCCTCTGCTTTCTCTAGCTCTTTTTGCACGGAACCCCTACGATGAGTCCTGGTTCTCGGCTGGAGCAATAGCACAGTGGGTAGGGCATTTGCCTTGAACGCGGCCAACCCAGGTTCGATTCCCAGCATCCCATATGGTCCCCTGAGCACCGCCAGGGGTAATTCCTGAATGCAGAGCCAGGAGTAACCCCTGTGCATCACCAGGTGTGACCCAAAAAGCCAAAAAAAAAAAAAAAAGATGATTCCTGGTTCTCCTGCAGCTGTCTCGCTGCTTCGTTCTCATTGGCCTCTTGGGTATGGCTGGGGTATGGACCAGCACCAAGGTGCTTGACTCTCATGTGCCAGGCCCTGGGCTCATCCCCCCAACCAACAACAACAACAAACTAGGTATATACCTGCCCCATGCTCATTCTCACCCTTCAGGCAGGGCACAGCAGAGCAAAAGCCACACTTTCGGCTGTTTGTTTTTGTTTGTTTTAGGGTTTTTTTCTTCTTTTTCTGGGGCAGGGGTTGGAGAAAGGGGGCATGGCATTTACCTAGTGGTGCTCTATTCCTGGTTCTGTGCTCAGGAATGACCCCTGGCAATGCTCAGGGGACCATATAAAGTGCCCCGGATCCGAATCCACAGGATGCAAGACAAGCACCTTCTTTTACCCTCTCTCTAGTCCCTCGTCTCCCAATTCTCATTCCCTTTTTTTGGATGTTGGTTCGAACACTAACAAAGTCTTCTTGGCTTTTCAAATTAGGTTGACTGCAAATTTCAAAGGTTCAGGAACTGCCTTGTTCTTTTCTGTATTTTCAGTCCCTACTGCAATTCTTGTTCCACCTACAAGATGGTTAGACTTCTTTGTCAAGACCCTGAATGATCAGTTTGAGGCTCTGCATGTTCCTCGAACGAACAGATGCCATTGGGCTCCGCTAGCACGCAACAGGAATGAATGGAGACGTTCCTGGCACCCGCTCGAGTAAATCGATGAATAACGGGGGATCAAGTGATCAAGTGACTGCAATTCTTGCCATGCCTTGCCACCACACAGGATAGAAACACAATAAAAATTTGTTGAGTAAATATACTTAATCTTCCTTTACTGCTAATAGAGATTAAAGTCAAAAAAAAAAAGGTCAGCGACAAAATCTTCTTAATTCCTCTGTTTCCTCCTGCAGGATGGAGGAGTATGTGCTTAGCCCCACCGTGCAGTCACTCTTTGTTTTTAATTGAGCTAACATTGGTTTATTTATTTTTATTTTGGGGCCACACCCAGCAGTGCTCAGGGGTTACTCCTGGCAGGGCTTGGGGGACCATGCGGAGTGCCAGGAATAGAACCTGGGTTGGCTCTATACAAGGCAAATGCTCCACCCGCTGTGGTATCGCTCCAGATCTGAGGTAAGTTGGTTCACAGTGGTGTAAATGTGTATAAGCTTTAGGGGCCCCCTGTTACTATACCATACCCACCACCAGCATGCCACATCCCTCCACCACAGTCCACTGAACCCTTCAGTGCCCCAATCCCTGTGTTCTGAGGTCAGAGTCTAAGGGTTTGTTTTTTTTGGACAGGGTCCCTCCCTTGCTTTGTGTCTTTATATGTCACATAGGAGTGAGGTCATCTGGTATTTGTCTTTCTCTTTCTGACCTGTTTTGCTCAGTATGACCACCCCCCCTCCCAATATTGCAGCAAAAGGCAAGATTTTATCTTTTAGCTAAATAGAAATGTTGCATGTGTATGTGTGTGTGTATTACAAAACTGTGGACGTGTATGTTTATACCTACAACTTTAGGTGGAAATGCACATATACATACCACAATTTTGTTTTTTGTCTTCTTTTTGGTTCTTGGATAGACCCAAGTCATGCTCAGAGATTACTCTTGGCTCTGTGCACAGGGATCGCTCTTGGTGGTGCTACAGTGACCATATGGGATGCCAGGGATTGGACCTAGATAGGCAGCATGCAAGGCAAGTACCTTACCATTGTATTATTTCTTTGGTCTCTTTACCACATTTCTTTCTTTCTTTTCTTTTGGTTTCTACACCCAGCTATGCTCAAGTTTTACTCTGGCTTTGTGCTGGAGATCACTCCTGGTGGTACTTGGGGGGCAAGATGTGGTGCTGAGGATTGAGTCGGGGTCTGCTGCATGAAAGGCAAGTGTTAACCCCTATACTATCTCTCCAGCCCTAAACCACAAAGTTTACATTCTTCTCATCAGTGGCTGGGCACTGGGGTTGTTTCCGGATCTTGGCTATTGTGAACAGCGGTGCAATAG